GGCGCAGAGGGCAAGCCTCCGGCCCCGAGGAACCTGCCCATTCCTCTCGGCCATCCAAGGGGTCCCTCTCTATCCCCCTGTCCCTACAGGACAGGGTAGGTCAAAGACCTACTGGTGGGGGCTTGGCAGACGGGGTTTTCGTGGGGCTCCAAAGAGCCCGCTAATTCCCCGTCTGTATCCCTGGGGTGCCAACCGGAAGTCTCTCTACCACCGAAGCAGTTTTATCTGGATCTGAGAAATCGATTTCCTTGCCTCAACCGATGGCGAACCACCTACAGGGTTGGTCATTACATGGTGCTGGATAGCAGCAACAGTATCCTTTGGGGGTCCTCATGATGTTCTGTTGCCAGTTCCAGATGTTACAGCGTCTGAGTCGCACGTGGCACTGCCTACTAGACACTTGGGGCTGGAAGCAACTTTCACCCAACAGCTGCGGGCCTCCGCTCAGGGCAGGGGCAATGTACTGGTTTGTCACTGGATATTCATAGTTTGTTTGCTGAAGTGATCTCAAAGGCCATGGCAACAGGGGTCCAACAAAGCAGTCAATTCCCCCCTCTGTCGTCTAATCTACAGCCCCAGGTTCTGTCAAATATATATCCAATGCCAGGATCTCCCTCTCAACAGGATTCTACCCATAACGCAGATTCCTTGTTGGGAGATTATGACCTGAGAGACCTAGAGTTTTCGGAAGATGAAGGGATGTTGCCAGAGAGACCGGCTTCACTGGCCTTTTCTGTCCCTCCATGTTTAAATCGTTGCTTCATAAAGCTAAAGTAACAACTAATATGTTGGTTGCTGGTCCAGCAGATCAACCCCAGGGGAATCACTATCCACATGATGAGCTGTTTGCAGTGCCATCAACTGAACAGGAGTTTATTCCTTGCCTGAAGCTCTTTGCTGAGGTGATTCAAAGGCAGTGGAGTCAGCCAGATTCCTTGGCTGCGCTTAGTGGACATGACAAAAAACTTTACTGCACGGCTCCGGATTTAGAAGGGATTTTGCAGCTTCCCTCAGTAGACACTCCAGTTGCCAGCTTAACATCTTGCACTGTTTTTTCCAATGACATAGTGGAGGTCTTGAAGACGAAGGATAGGAAAGTGGAATTATCCTGCCGAAAAACTCATCAGGCGGCCGCTCGGGCCATCAGAGCCGCAACATCGACTTCCTTTTACAACAGCGCATCCCTGATATGGCATCACCAATTACAAGAGCGGTTATCACTGGATGATACAAGGTAACACCAGGACATTAATAAATTGGTGGCAGCTACTGAATATTCTGCCGACGCATCCTTGGATGCGGCAAAATTTGCTTCTTGGGCATTGGCGTCTGCCGTGACTTCCCACCGCCTTCTATGGCTCCGCCATTGGAAGGTGGATATGAAATCAAAGTGGAGGCTCACTTTGGCCCCATACAAAGAATCTAATCTTTTTGGAGAAGCGTTAGACCCCTTACTTATTGAAAACAAGGACAAAAGGAAGATGTTGCCTTTCACTTATAGGAGGCCGGATCATAGGTATTCACCTTACTCACAGAGACAGCCCTTTTGGTCTGACTCCAGTGGGTCCTATTTCCAAAAGTCATATGCCCAAGGGTTCAACCGACCAGCAGACAGGTCTACCTTCCGGGATTAGGGTAGACGTCACCCTCTGGCGAAGTGGCCATTTTGTGGGGCCGGAACAGACCTTTCAGATGTGGCAAGTGACTCCCAGCCTGCCTTCCCCATTGGCGGACAGCCACAGCATTTTTACGATCATTGGGAATCATCCACCACCGATGCTTGGGTCTTCAGATGGTGAAATTCGGACTCACCTTGGAATTCCACTCCAACCCTCTGAACCGTTTCATCCAATGCCCAGTTTCCTGTCTTCCCGCAAAGAGAGGATTGATGGAAGCCGAGATTCAACATCTGTTAGACACCAGGGCCATCGAACCAGTGCCCAAAGATCAAGAAGGGACCATTTTTTACTCAATTCTTTTTCTCATGCCCAAGAGTTCCGGGGGTTGAAGAGGGATATTGAATCTCAAGCAACTCTGTACAGGTCATTCTGTACTGGTCATTCAAAATGCAATCCCTCAAGGATATCTTGGGAAGCATACAGAGCGGGGATTTCTTGACATCGGTGGAACTCAAGGAGGCCTACCTACACATCCTGGTCCATCCCCAACATCGAAGGTACCTACGCTTCACATATGCCAGTCGCCATTTTTAATATCGAGCCATGCCATTCGGCCTGTCATCGGCCCCAAGGACATTTACCAAACTATTAGCAGTGGTAGCTGCAACTATCCGATTGGTCCCGGTATGCCTACAGTGTAACTTGGATGATACCTTAATTCAATAGTCCACACAATCGCAAGCCACAAAGGACCTAGAGATGGTGACCAAAACACTGTAACATGTTTTTTCTCTAAACCTGAAGAAGAGTCATCTGCGACCCACCACTCTCATACTCCACCTTGCTGCGGTGATAGACTCAATCAGAGGCCAGGTTTACTTGTCTCCGGATCGACAACACGGCATCAAGGTTTTAGTGACTCAAATTGCTCCCCAAAGGTCAGTTTCCGTGATCCTTCTATCCCAATTGCTTGAGAAGTTGATCTTGTGCATTCAATAGTACCATGGGCACGACGGCATGCTTGACCTCTACAGTGGTTCTTACTACCGTTCCAGAGAACGGGCTGCAGCAACTCCAGGGCCAAGGTACGAGTATCTTCCCATGTCCATTTATCCCTCTGGTGATGGACATCTACAGCAATTCAGACGGGGTGTGTGTTCCAGGAGCCCCAGTGCATCACCGTGAGATCGGATGCGAGTCTCTTTGGCTGGGGATCCCATCTTCTCTCTCAGGTGGTTCAGGGACAATGGTCCCCAATGGAACAGAAGAACAGCATCAATTGGTTGGAACTGAGGGCAGTTCACCTGGCCCTCCGCCAATTTTGAACTGCTGTGACAGGTCGTCATGTGTTGATATTGATGGACAATGTGGCCACAAAAGCGCATATAAATCGAGAAGTGGGCACTCGATCCAAGCCTCTGATGGCTGAGGCAGAAAGGTTGATGAGCTGGACGGAGAGATACACGCTCTCCCTCAAAGCAGAGCACATCTCCAGCTCATCCAACGTTTAAGTGGACTGGTTGAGCAGAAAACACCTGGATTCTTCAGAATGGCGTCTTCATCCAAAGCTCTTTCAGGAGCTGTCAATGAGATTTGGCCAACTGATGCTCGACCTGTTTGCCCGTCCGAAGAACACACAACTTCTGAGGTTTTTCTCTCTATTTCCGAGCCCAAGGGCGGAAGGATGCAATGCCCACCTCTGTGCATGGCCTTGCCTCCCCTTCCATTATCCCTAGGGTAATTCGAAAGGTGTTGACCGAAAGAGCAGAGGTGCTTCTTGTCACCTCGCATTGGCCACAACATCCCTGGTATGCCGACCTGGTGAGCCTCTCCATGTCCCAACCTTGGAAGATTCCCCAGGACAGCATTTCTCTCAGCCAGGGGTTTGTACTCCATCCAGAGCCCCAGTGGCTCCAGTTGATCATCTGGCACTTGAGAGGATCTTCCTGAGGAAAGATAATCTTTCAGGGAAGGTGATCTAAACCATACAGGCTTCCAAGCGTGCATCGACAAATCGGATTTACAAACCACTTCTTGGCAGTCTTTCTGTCTTTGGTGTTCCAAGGAGCACATTGACCCAAATTTGGCATCAATACCTGAGGTCCTAGAATTCCTGCAAGCGGGACTGGACAAGGGATTGGCCCCTAACACCCTATGCCAGCAGATAGTGGTCTTGTTTACAGTACTTACCTGTGACTCACCGTACTCTCACTCAACATCTGAGAGTAAATAGTTTCCTCCAGGGGGCTACCAATCTACGCCCCCCAGTGGTACATAGGTGCCCCACATGGGACCTTCCCTTAATCCTGAAAGTTCTTACATCTTCACCATTTGTACCATTGAATTCCATCAGTCTCCAGTTCCTGACCCTAAAAGTCGCCTTCCTCGTGGCAATTACATCCACCATGAACTGGTGGCTCTCTTCATACAAGGGGATCTCTGTATATTCCATTCGAACAGAGTTGTTCTGTGGATGGATCCTTCTTTCTGCCCAAGGTGAACTCCTAGTTTCGCCATGGCCAGGAGCTCATTTTGCCTGATTTCTGTCCAGCTCCCAACCATCCGCTGGAAGAAAGATAGCACACCTCGGACGTCAGGAGGGCCCTCCGCAGTTACATTAAACAGGCGGCTTCCTTTTGATGGACTGAAGCTCTTTTTGTGTTGTTTTACCCCTCGTCAATGGGCAGAAAAGTTTCCTCCTCTACGATGGGCCATTGGTTGAAGGCGTCTATTGCAAAAGCATATGAACTCAGGGCCAAGCCTTTACCTGGATGGATTATAGCCCATTCAACTTGTAGTGTGGCCACGATGGTGGCATGGGCCACACAGGTTTCCATCAGCGACATCTGTAGAGCGGCCACTTGGTCCTCATTGTCATCATTTATACGACATTACAAATTAGATAGTTACGCCTCAGCTGAGTGGGTGTTGCAGACTGTGCATTCCACCCAGGGCCCGAGGATCAGTCAGCCTCCCGCCCAGTTACCTTGAGCTTGGGTACATCCCACGCTTGGATTATCCAAGCAGTGCACTGGAAAATGGACGTTGATTTACCTGAATGCCCTTTTCAGTGCGCTGCGGGATAATCCAACCCACTCTTCAGGCTTCCTAATTGGAGCCCTAGGGTAGGTTCCTTCTGTTTCCTTTTAGACACACTAGATGACTTCACCTTCGGGAAAAAACTGAAGGTCAGCCAAGTAGAGGAGGCGTAGTTAACAAGAAAAATCTACACTCAGTCTCTGGCAAATAGATGCGAGATAACCCACGCTTGGATTATCCTGCAGCACACCGAAAAGGGACGTTCAGGTAAGTCAACATCCATTTTAAGCACTCTTACCAAAATCATTGAAAATCAGATGACTTCTCTTTCTTCCTAAACAGGTTACAACGAAAGCCAAGCAGATTAAAGATTCAGTTTCAAGTGCTCCAGGTAATGTCTAATGTACCTACTATATATATAGGACAAGTTCGAATCCGAATAAGGGTATGGATAGCTGATGAGAGCTAAATAGCTTAGCAGACATCCTGCGAGCTCCGGAACTTAAAATTTTAAAATTTTAAAATAATTAAAATTTTATTTAACTTTTATTTAACTTTCATCAGCCATCTGCTGATATCATCAGAGTATTAAACTACAGAGATCTCTGCCTTTATATTCCATTAAGCAATTTGGCCCTTGCGAGTGTAATAGCCCTTCCAGCTGTGTCCCACTTATAATCAGCTGTCTTGTTTTTGCTGTCGTCATGCTGGATGATGGGGGCTTAATTCCTACTGTTAATTGTACAAGCAATTACGTAGGGGAAACGGCCAAGCGGTTACAGACCAGAGTACACGAACACGAACTAGCTGTCAAGGAACAGCGCTCCCAGATCTGGACGCATATGAAGGAGCACAAGCATACATTTGATTTTCAAGAAGCTGAGGTTATTGCCCATGATAGGACTAAAGGAGGACGCCTACTAAAAGAAGCCTGGTTCTCCAATAATAATTCCATCAACAGGCATATCGAACTGCCACTGGCCTACCAGGCTTTGAGACATCAGGAAAGACCCTGCAGGTTGAGCAGAGACAGCTTTCCATCAGTAAGCAGAGACCAAAGGCACTCACCCCCCAACTCTGAGCATGCAGACTCAACCTGTGAAGGCATAGTTAGTCCTGACCAAACACAGAGCAACCCGGCAGGGCTGTCTCAAACTGTAACGGATAGGATTAATGAGAAACCTGGCCGATCACAAGGTCACGGACAAGGCAGCAAATTGCAATGGCTGACAGGCTAACATCATCCCCCACTGATAAGCAAGCTAGGAGAGAGGAAACAGTAGGAATTAAGCCGCCATCATCCAGCATGACGACAGCAAAAACAACACAGCTGATTACAAGTGGGAGACAGCTGGAAGGGCCTATTACACTAGCAAGGGCCAAATTGATTAATGGCATATAAAAGCAGAGATCTCTGTAATGGTAGTTTAATACTCTGACAATGTCAGCAGATGGCTGACTAAAGCTTAGTTAAATAAAATTTTAATTATTTTAAAATTTTAAGTTCCAGAGCTCGCAGGATGTCTGCTTCTTATTTCACTGATAAAGAATATATTGTTATATATTTCACAATGGTTAAAGAAAATGTATTTATTTGCCTTTAAAGGTTAATAGCTGGACTTGCTTTTTTTTCCTCTCCATTCTTCATGACTTTTCAGTTGCATGCCTCCCCCCCCCCCTTTGGATTGTATATTAATTTGTAGGGATATTCTTTGCTGAAGAACAAGTTTAGGATGTTATAATGTACAGGCTGTATTGTAACTCTTTAAGATTGGTAAAATTTTGATGGTCAAATGGCCAACGTTTTGGTGGCTCCATAAGTTGAAGCTCATTTAGAAATAAGCATGGAGATGTAACTAAAACAGTAAAACAGTAACAGAGTTGGAAGGTACCTTGGAGGTCATCTAGTCCAACCCCCTGCTCATGCAGGAAGACCTATACTAGGGATTCGAACCGCTGAACTGCCAACCTTTCTGATCAACAAGCTCAGCGTCTTAGCCATTGAGCCACCTAGCCAGGCCAACTAATCTGCAAACTAGTTTGCCTCCTAGATGCTGCCTGCTGTTACCTGTTCTAGCAACAAAACAAACTGAAATCACTATTTTCATGGCAGTTTTGTCCTCAGAGGATGGGTTTAGAAATGTAAGAATTTAATTCAATACCATTCCTACTCTGGATCTATCACACTTCCAAAAAATCCACTTCCAAATAGGGATGTTTTAGGAAGATTATGGAGGTAAGGGTAGGGATGATAATTTCCCAAAGACTTCCCTATTCTCATTCTTACTCCCAAAACAGCATTTAAAAATGATCCCAAAATTCTCCTGATGGCTCTGTGCAATCCTCCAAAACAGAGTTGCAACACATAATATTTCAATTGTTTCCACTTCTGTGGCTAAGCACATACTATTGATATACTGAAGATCATGTCTTCAGCTAATATCTTAATTCAGTGTTCTTTGCAAAATAAAATAAAATATAATGGGCCTCAATTTCTTGGCACTCTGCCCACCTATTGTGCTGTAAACCAGGGAGAGTTGCCTTCCTAAATCTGGGACAACTGGAGTTGAACTTTCCTAGCCAGGAGTTTTAAGAACAAGAACCACAGAATCTAGTCTTTTGTTGGTGCAGTCTTGAATATTCATAGGTCTCAACTAATGGCAGGATAGGTAAAAACATGCTTTTCATTTTATAGTGTTTTATAGCGACTGAAGCTTCCTTGTCTTTGTTATCAGGATTAGGAATTCTCCACAGCAGTAAATCAAATTAACATATTTGGAGAGAAAGAAGGCTGAGGTTCTTCTACTGTATACCTGAAAAATGATTCTTTTTCTGGTGTGATAGTTACACTTGGCCTTTGACCAGAGTACCAGATAATCCTCCAAAATCTGGTGAAGTGAGGCTCAAATCTATATTTAATTTTGTATAGTTAAAATGAATTGAAGCAATGACTGCTTTCCTCTTAAGTATTTAATATTTTTCATTGTATCATTTTTAGTAATTCGTTAAAAAAAAAAAACCAAAGCTTTTAGGAGGTTGTGGAGTTCTCCTCTACAGTCATGGGAAAGTGGCAACCTCCAGAAGTTCTGAGTCCTATTTAAAAGATTGTAGAGGCCAGAGAGTAAATATCTGTATTGGCTAGAGTAGTGGTGAACAAAAGGTGGTCCTAGGTATTACTAAACCTTTACTAAGCATACTGGCTGCTTCTTTTGAAAACAAATAACAGGCAGAAAAGGAGCTTCTATGCATATATGCCTTCATTAAGTGGATAATGTGAAACTCTGCCTCAAATTGTCAGCAGTGTAAAGAAAACAAAAATTTGTGACATCTGTTCCAGAGAACCAAAAGATGAATTAAAATAACTAAGGGTACCATTGATTAAACACCGTGGCAGTGCATTATTCTTCCTTTTCAATGGGAGCACTGCAGTTCATTCATTTCAGTGTATCAGTGCATAGAGGAGTGCATGTTAACAAAAGAGCCAGAATATAACGGAAGACCTCTTAACATCGTACCTAATTGATGCTATTTCTGGATTGTTTAAACTAAGTGTGACTACCATGGAAACATACAAGTAAAAATGAAAGCCTGACTTTATTAGTTTGGAATCAGACTTACATTTGACTAAATCTGGATTTAATCTATTACATTTTTCAAATCTGATTTTTGAATGCAGGTGTCAGATATTTTCAAGGCTGGTTCAACACACTCATGAAGCATACTTTAAACAAAAATTGGTTTGGAATATTGGTTCCCCCCATCTTCTCTCTTATTATATGTTAACCTGATGTGTGCTATTTTTCAATAGGTACTATTAAATTCTCAGAGTTGAAAACTTTGGCTCAAAGCTCAAGATCCAGCAAGGCCAATATTAACTTACCTGATCTTATAATCACTCAACGGGATAAAGAAGATGACCAGGAGGAAAAAACAAAGTACAATTATGATCCAGAAACAATAAATAAGATCACAACAGATGAACAAGAGACTGGGTTAAATGAAGCCCGACATCGCAAGCGGAAAACAATACCAAAGGCTGCTGAAACAATATTCCCAGGGACAAAAGAGACAACAGAGGACAAATGTAGAGGGAAGCGCCAGAAGGACTTTGACACTGCAGAACAAGAGGAATATAGCGATGATGAGGCCAGGAAAAAAGAGAAGTGTCGCAGTTCAGATGACTTGTGGACTCAGAATCAACAGAAGCTTCTAGAGCTGGCTTTGCAACAGTATCCAAAGGGAACGCTGGAACGTTGGGATAAGATTGCCAAGTGTGTTCCAGGAAAAAGCAAGGTGAAGCCATAGATTTGGGGTTCGATAATGTTGTATTAATTTTTCTTGTAAAATTAGTTTTAGAAGATTAACTCTCTTAAATTTAATGCAATTACAGAGTATTTTTAAAGATAATGGTAAACAAGGTTTTTGTTTTCTAACAAACTGCCTGCCCTTTTAATGTTCTCTATTACCTACCTCTGAAAGAATAATAGAAGCTAATTCAACTGTGTTGGCTTAATATGCAGAAAGCAGTTGGATACTGTGTTTAGAACACCAAAAAATGTTGCATAGTCTTATATACAGGATACCAGTGAGACCATGAAATCACAATCCTGGAAAATATTTATTGTATTCCTAGTCTGTCATGTAATCTGTTCTAGGAAAGTTTTAAAGGACCAGGGTTTCAAAAGAAGCTTCAAGTGAATGAATAGCCTTGATTATATCAAAAGGTTTATCTATGGGAAGAGAGCATGTGCTTCAGTTTTCAAGCAGTTGCTAGAAAGCTACCTGTGAGTGATGATTAATTTCTTTCCATTTACATTCCTTGCTACTTTCAATGCAGGATTTTCCAAGGCTTGAGTGCAATCTACTGTATATTGTAGGTTGTAAGTTACTGAGGAAATCCATGTTTTGTCAAAACTTAGTTCTCCAGTGTATTCTTGACTGAAAATTTGTAGACTGCTATGGGAGCAGATACTTTCAATTAGTTAATTGATACATTGCTTCCTCTATTCACTAATTTTTCCCAAACATGTCAGGTAGCAGTATATTCAATAGGAAAATAACCAAGTAAGGTGGGAAATGATGTTCTGTCTCTCTTTCTCCCCACCCCCAAACTTGCTGATAATTTACTTACTTACTTACTTACTTTATTTGATTTATATACCACCCTACTCCCGAAGGACTCAGGGCGGTGAACAGCCAAACAGTAAAAATACATAGATACAAAATTTAAAAACAAAGTAAAATCGAATTAAACAATTTGGCCCAGACAGATTAAAACACCCCAATCATTTAAAAACCGATTAAAATTTGCATAATTAAAAAGAGGGAAAAGATTAGGCTAGGCCCGCCTGGTGGAATAAAAAGGTCTTAAGAGCGTGGCGGAAGGTGCGCAGATCCGGGATCCTCCGTATCTCCGTTTAATGTTTTTAATTATCAAAGCATGGAAGGCAATAAAGGGACTAGAGCAAAAGACCAGTCCAAACAACTAATTAAATAGTTTATTAATGGAAATATTACATGATTGTAAATTTAATTTAAAGAAGGTGAGCATCTTGAGATAAGCAATCCTAACAAAATAATTTCAGAGGTTTTGTAGATGCTTTGTATACATGGCCAAAGATGGAAAATGGAAGAAAAAGTAAAAACCTTTGTCAGATTTTGTTATTCAGTAGAGTAGTCTTAATATTAGTGGCTGTACCACAATTAGCCAGTAAGCAGTTGTCAAATGTACTAGATAATGAATACCAGGTGACAGGAACTGATTAATTATATCTTTGCTTGTCGCATTGTCCGCATTGTCCGGGATATATGAAAGATAATTTTGGAAAGGATATGGCAAGAAAGGGTGATTTAAATAGTACATCTGCCTTGGCTATCAAGCTGAATATTTTTCTAGTGAGAGGTACATTATGTTAAACTATATTAGAAGTAGTTGCTTTTGTTAGAGGTGCACAAAGCAGATCGAACTTTGTACAAACTATTTCCTGAAGTGTAGTAGAACTATAACTGTTACAAGCAAAAAGCTGCTTACTGCTTGATCAGGCTTGTGAATTTTGAGAATATTTTAATTATATATTCTGGGTAGCAACAAATGTACATTGGAAAAAATGGTACAAATATGTTTCTATATGCAGTGAACAGGGACTTATAGCAATCAATGTCTGCTGGAAAAATAGGCTTAGAATTTTTGAGGCACTACAGATTCCAGTATCTTGAATTGATGCTTGGAAGCTAGAAGGGAGTGGATGAATTGAAGCACATGCTTTCTGAATCCCAGCAAGACACATTCATTGTAAGGGCAAAACCCTTATGGATCCATAGACAGTTCAACTGTTGACTTTGATGGCACTGCTCTAGAAGAAGCAGGTATGCAATTTAACATCCTGATCTCCAGAGCACCAGGAGGATCTTTGTCTGGGTCCCACTAGTCTAACAATTGCAACCTTACTTGATTATAGAAATACTGGCAATTAATCAGGCTCTTATTAACTCACAGTTAGACTTCAGCAATTCATTTTACACAGGAAAGCCCTTGAAGACAACCAGAGACTGGACCTGCCATGGATTGAACAGGTTTAATAACTGATATGTCTATTCTTTGAGGGCAGCACTGGTTGCCCATTCCAAGCCCAATTCAAGATGGTGGGAAATACGTATAAAAACCCTATATCGGGGTGCCAAATTAGATTTCATTGAAGGCCACTTCAGGGTTGGGTTTGACCTTGGGGGCCAGGGTGGGTGTGGCCAGCTTGACATCACTCGTGTTGGACGCCTGTGTTGGCCTGAGTGCTCTGCCAGTGAAAACAGTGCTGTTTTCGCTGGCAGAGGCATTGCAGGCCAGTCCGCTGTTTCCAGGACTGCCTCACAGACCAGCTCTGAGTTTGACATCCCTGCCCTATGTTATCTTTGGAGCTGTCTGATCCATATAGAATATGCCAACTTGACCTGAACTAGGCAGGGATGCTACAGGTACTGGCCCATAAGAGCTTGAGTGCACAGAGGCTTGCAAGACTGCCTTCTCATTAGCAGTGTTCTCATATGGAATACTTTGCCTGGCAAAGTCAGGCTCCCACTTTTGGGACATTTACAAATGGGTGCAGTTATCTGCAGGGTCCTTGGAATGGAAAATCTTCAGTAGCTGAGTAGTTCAATAGTGGAGGAAGATTTAATATTGGAGGCTGCCTAGTGAATGTAGGTAATCCTCAAGATATAGCTGTAATGGAGCCTGTCCATTATGGCTTTTTGTTGTGATAACACAAATAGTGTCTCACTTGAACTTCCCATCCCTGCTTTCCCTAATGCAGTTGTTAAACAAACTTACAGGTCAGGTGGAGCTTGGAGTGTCTCAGGTGGAAAAGGCCCTTGTAGGCCTAACATAGACCCAGGGCCACTTGCTTCTTGCTCCTTAGGTTTCCACAGGTCTTTCCCCACGCCCCTCAGGTCTCCCCAAGCCTTAGGCCTAATTCCCACCCCACTATGCCAAACACCCTCTTCCTCACTTATCTTTTGATAAGCTCCAAGGTCTTCCAGAGTGCTGAAAGGCTTCATTGCAAGGCCATGTAGCACGATTCCAGAAGTGGCTGCAATATTTACAATACCAGAATGCAATTTAGCCCCTGGAAATATGGGTGCTGCTTCCAGAATGATGCCATGTAGCCATGGGACAAACCACTTGTTTGTTACCTCAATGTGGTTTGCACAGTGCTGCAGACTCTTTCTGCAGCTTTCAGAAACTTTCCATAGTGCTGTCCAACCTTGATAAGGCAGCAAAATGGAACAATATATCTCGTGTGCCGTTTTGTCCTCACCCACAAGTGGACAGGACCAAATTGCTGGCCATTTCCAGTTGCCACTATGTGGCCCAGAGATGAGCACACCAAGCAATCGGGAGACAAAGCAACCTGTTCTATCACTATGGAAGGCTTCAGAACTCTAAAAAGTGAGGAGTGCACGGGGCTTGGTAGGGTGAAAATCAAGTCAAAAGGCCAAGGGGGAGCCATTGAGGGAGGACATGTTTACAGGGACCCAGGCAGGAGGAAGATAGGCAGGAGGTGCTGCAGCATCCTTGCAATCAGTAGTAAGGATGAATCAATGAACTTCAGCAGCTATAACATCAGGCCAGAGCATGAGCAGCTTTCAGGAGGAAGGGGCACTGTAACTTCAAATGGCTGTTAGGTGACTGTTAGTTGAGGACTAGCTCAAGATAAGAGATGTACAAGATAAGAAATTGTGGTAATAATAGATACTACTTTTTTCCCATAATTCTCAGAAAATGTTTTCCCTTTCTCTCCTGCCTAGTATAAATTGTCTATAATGCTTTTAAAAATGAATATTACACATTAATACTCCATGTTTTCTTTTTCTACAGGAAGAATGTATGACTAGATACAAACTGTTGGTTGAACTTATACAAAAGAAAAAAATGGCCAAAAGCTGAACATTTTGAAGAATATTATTCATCAAAATGGGATACATTAAACATCATATGCAGTGACTTGTATTTTTGTACCTCAGTATTTCAGTATGTCATGTGCCTTAGTAAAAATCTGTAAATTTTACATCTTCACTTTGAATTTTTTTAATAGAATCAATATATTTTTGTACAGGAGGGGGTTTTGCCACTAACTGGTATTTAAGAAATATCATTTGGAATACATATTGGAACAACTGAGCAAATATTTTTTAATATAAAGTCATATTGCAGGATGGGAAACATTGTGTCTTCTAAGTATCTTACATTTTACTTTTCGTTAATAACCACTCATTCCCTAAGAATATTACACTTTCTGTTTTATTATCATATAACATTGGCATTACATTCATCCTATTCCAATGGAACATGCAGAGGTAGGGAAGTGAAAAATTTAGTCAATTCTGAAATAGAACATTCCACAAAAGCTCCATTCTTAGTCAACAAATTTTGTATATGCCAGAGCATGATAGCGCAGTGGTTGGAATACAATATTGCAGGCTAACTGCTCACATTGCCAGGAGTTTGATTCCGTTGTACCTGACCAGCTCAAGGTTGACTCATCCTTCCGAGGTCGGTAAAATGAGGACCACTTAGAGGCAGCTGTAAAGCACTGTGAAGCAATATATAAGTCTAAGTACTATTGCTACTGCTCCTTTGGAGATTTATGGAGAGCCAACAAATGGGAACTGAATTTCTAATTTCGTTCTATTTGCCTTCACTGTGGATCCTATTAATATTTATCTTCAGACCATAATGTTCAATATAGAAAATTCTATCTATTGCCTTACATTATAACAATTGATCCTCCAGTTAATCCTTGACTGCAGCCCCATAACCAACCTTACTGCCTCAAACCTGTAAGTCAGTTTCAGGTAGGAAAAGTTGCCCATCTTTCTTTCCACACAGAGAACAGCTGGACAGCATTAATAATTGAGAAATAACTTAACTTAAAAAAATCACAACAGTTGGAGACCTCAATTGAAGAACAAAAGAATGATCAGTCCAAGTCAGTAATTCATCAAAAGTGGATTCCCTCCTCCCTCCCATGGCAGGAATATTAACCCAAGATATAATCCCATTAGATATCAGACTATGTGTGACATTTCAGGCATTCCTATACTCTATATATAGAAGCAGCCACAACTTAAAATATATATTCCAGTTGTAAAATATGAGGAAAAAATAAAAAAATATTTGCATTTGTATAGTCCAAGCTCTGTCTGCTGGTGGCTGGTGCTCATGATGAAGGCAAGTCTTCATTCCAAATAAGAATAATTCTACTATATCAGAAGAATCCTCAAGTTTTCAGCCTTGCAGGGAGGATTGAAAAATATGTAAGGGAGAAAACTACTGCTTTCAGCCTAAAAACTCTACACATTTCATACTAATGCCATTGTAGAATGAGGATGTCAATTGTTTTTTAAAGTGCTAAAACCTTATGTTTCTCAAAATTTATGAAGCCAATTGTGCCTGTTTTCTTTGTGGTGATATAGTGGCGCGTGGCAGCACATTTTTCCTTATAACTAATATACAATTTTTTCTATTGGGTGAAAGGATATCAAACATTGTAAAACAACCTTTTTCTCAAGAAAGATAATTCTTTTGTGTCAAGGCACTTTCTGCTGCAGCAGGAACTGGACTTTCCATTCTGGCTATATATTTTTGTTACGAGTATCCACATTAGAATAGGCCTGTTTAAATTCCATTTAAAACAACAAGATTTGGACATCTCTCAGTATGCATTAAAAGCATGCTTGTAATAGGACTTGGCGTAGACACAGTGACTAATGCATTCTTCTGATGAAGTCTGTATCATGTATTGCAATTTACAGCCATAAACAATATTAAAATTTATTAACCAAAGCTTTGTACATATCTTTATATAAATTGGCAATTTTACATCTAGGCAAAACAACATTTATACAAATTATTACAGAATATTAAACAAGTGGTTTAAATATATTAAACCACACTGATTTACTTTAGTAAATTTATCTACAAAAGTGATTTGTGACTTGAAAACTTGTCATTAATATATAAAAATAAATTATTCTTACCTTTCAATTAAAACTACCAGTTAGAAATTTTACAAATCAAAATATCCACATTTTATGAATTCTTCACAATACAAAACAGTCACAAAAACTTATTTACAGAAATGAGGTAAGAACTGTGCAATGTTTAACAGAACAATATTGCAGAAACAATAGGTTCTTCCAATTAAGTACACAGTGAAGGTCTAAGTATACTTGAGTATTTTCCACTAATAACTCACACAGACTCAAATTAGTGGTTTAACTCTCAAATTAAAACTATTTCCTGTTTTACTGCATAGTCATACCATGAAATTAACTCTTCAAAGTGAAATATGTCTCTTTCATCCATTAACATTTCACAGCAATGGAAACCCCCCCCCTTTTTTTTTTTTTTTTGGTAATTTATTAGTGGAAAGCAACCCAGGTAACAATTTGCCTGAGCTATCAATAGTGACAAACACTTCTAGTAAAGGCAGATCAGAAAGGAAGGCTGCTGGTGCAAAGTTGAATATACTTGCGGCTTTTTTATCTCATTTTAGTGCATGCCCAGCTGTCTAAAGCCATCCCTAACCCAACAGAGGGAAGCAACAGGCACTTGGGTTACATTAAATACTACCAGAATAGGAGTTACCTTTCTCATCTGGTAAGAGTTCTATGACTTTCAACAGATGTTTTTCCAGTGATCTTGAAAAATCCATCTCAAAATTAAATATTACTTGTCATTTCTTAAATGTTTTCATTCTAGCAAAACATTTTAAAAACTAGTAAGACAAAATAAATGACTTAAAATCTGGTTCTTTTCTGAAGAAAAAATGGTGCTTCTAAAACACTGATGACAAACCACCATGTCATTGGCAAAAATTTTATATTTTCTTTGCTTTCTTCAAAGAAGTGATGGAACTAAACATCTGATTTTTAGCACTGCAGTTTTTGTAAAGTCAGCAACTGAATTCCGATCAGTTGACTGAATTTACAGTGCTCTAATCTGAAATCCAAGCTTCCAGGCAATTTGATGGAAACAGTTCAGTTTCAGTGCAACACAAAGCAACAAGGTCAAATTTTACAATAAACATCTTCAGGTAGATTCACTTTTCCAGTGTGCAGTTAGCTCATTGATGTGTCTCATCATACCTGCAGAGAGAGAGTGCAACTCACAGCCAGATGAAGTGCTATCAGCAGGATTTGCAATTTTACATACACTTCCAAGTGTTAATTTTTTTCCGGTGCAAGGGATCCACTTTTATCACTAAGCCTCTGGAGGGAAAAAAAAGAAATATACTGTTTTACAACTGCTAAAATTGCCAGTGTTTTTGTAGTAAACAATTTATACAGCTAGCCAGAATATATCAGCACAGCAAAGAAAGTTTAAAGGATTGCACTTGTTTAGTCCCACCCATGTACCCATATCTGGCAATACTTTCTAAGGCTCAGAAGTAATACTACAACTGATACTTTGAACTGAGGAGTGCTTGGCCTCCAAAGCTGCTGCCAAGGTAAATCTCCATCTGCTAATTGTTCTCTTTTCTGATTGCTTAGCCTCTTTTGCAAGTCCAAATGGGCACAGAAAGCAGCATGTGGTCCTTCCTTTTTATTCGCTGCTGTTGAGTGAGAGGGAATTTTATCTGCATTGAGTACACTCACTCCTGGGGAGGGAGTGGAGAGGTCACCTCATCTCAAGCTAGAAACCTCTTATCTTGCTCCTCGATTCAGCCGGCTTCTGCTTTTGCCATACTAGCAGTATACAAAATGGGAAATAATGTTAAAAAGGAAGCTAGGGACATATCCTGTACTGAATAGCCAAGAAAAAGTTCTACATTCATTTGGCCTATTATTGAAATAGAAAAACAGCAAATGTGAAACTGATTAGGGCTAGCTGTGGGGGAGAATAGAAAATTTGAAACAATTTAACAAAACAACTCTTTAAAACTTTTGTACTATCCTTAATTCTCTCACTTCCTTAAATTAACTATAACTAAAATATCAGTTCAGTAAATACGGCTGGCTGATTAGGGAATTTAAAAGTAATTACTGGACAGATCTTATTTCAGAACAGTGATTAGTAGCTAAGGGAAAAAAAGAATTGAGATACAAGACTACCTTTCAAGCCACTTTTCCCTCCAATTCAAAATTCCTGGCCATTCATGCATATATGTGAGGCATATTTAGTTAATAGTCACAATCCTCTTTATTGTTTTACTAAGATATTCCAGAGGTGGGTCCTTTCACTGAAACCATATTTGGTATCATTAAATTTATGTATGCAAATCACACTGCATGTAATGATAGCTTATACAATGGAACATTGTGCTAGAATTAACATGGTTTTAAAACTGTCCACTAGAAGAAAAAGTAGTTCCCACGCCGCTTGCCAGTGGCTAAAACCAGAGAAGTAAATGAACTTTTTTAAAAATATAGAATGTATATGCCTTTTAGCTTTCTGACCAGATTCTAGCTGCTTGGGTGAGGTTTAGAAACTTGTTGCTGGTCAAAGCTGCAACTATTGGTATGAAGCCAACACAGATCACCAACAATGTGACTACAGATGTTCTTTCTACTTTCTGAAGATGGAGGACCTACAATATCCTAGAAGTCAAAAATACTGAACAATAATTAGGAATTTGGAAAGTTTTATGCTAATTTTCATTGTAGTTAAAAGCCAGCTTTTGTCAGCTTTACCAGAGAGATAGAACAATTAGAGCTACTTGGTTCATTAGGTTTAGGTTTAGGTTTATTTGGCTTTATATACCGCCCTTCTCCCAAAGGACTCAGGGCGGTAAACAGCCAAAGATAAAACACATACAATATAAAATTTAAAAACAATTTAAAACATATTAAACAAATTTGGCCCATACTAATTAAAACACTCCTTTTTTAAAAAAGCAAATTAAAATTAAAATTAAAAAGAGTTAGGCCAGCCCAGCCCATTCAGTGACCAGCTACCAAAATAGCTGTGATAGTACAAGCCAGTTGCTTTAAGTTGCATTTCTCCTATAAACAGGAATATTTTTTTCTTTTTTATTACAAACCCAACCTCTATATACTTACAGAG